ATAAAATTGAGACGCATGCATGTATGTATACCTGGGGGAGAGTCCAATATCTGTGAGGAACAACAAGAGATAAGTAAACCAGCATGCAGCAGTGATGTCGTTGAGCATGTGGCCCACGCCATAGTAGAAAACCGACCATCTCCCAAGAGGCATCGTAAAGGAATCATCTTCAATATCATTACTCATTGGAGATAACTTCAAATATATGCATGAAGAAAAGGAATTTCCCGTGAGTAGACACACATGGTAACTTTCAAAAAAGAAAAAAGAAAAAAATTTCTCAATTGAAACAGTAAAAATCTTCTTCATTTGAACCTAATTCCACAACCCTTATGAAATTGAAACAAATATTCAGAGATGGGATAGTAAGACAGGACAGACTATATTAAGAAAGAAATCCGATTTGCAAAGAGCAACATTCAGCCGGTAACATAAAATTCAGATAAATAAATGAAAGGGAAACTGAATACTGAATCCTGCATACTGCATACCAGATCAATATTCAGGGCGACGATGAGAGGCAAAAGCAAATGCCAAAATTCATTTCGTATGAATTTCGATATACGCACGCCTGCCTTGTAGAGTTGTAGTTGTGGACGCGAAGGCGGTCGATTTCTTTACATTTCTTTCAAGATTGCTTCTTTCTTTGTTCCTTACGGTTCAAGAGTTTCGTACTATTACAAAACCATCCCCACTGCTCATCCAATTTGCCTGGATTTTTGGAAGGGCAATATTGTGATTATGTTTATTTTGTTCGGCTTTGTTTGACTCACAGAACAATAGTGCCCTCCCCATCACTTATTTCTATCTTACTTTCCCATAGTTTAACAACTACCATTCCCAATCCCATCTCATACGTTACATATAACTCATTCAACAGTTCTAGATAAATAAAATTAGAGGTAAAACCCTACCTTAAATCCATAAACTTACTTTATATTTTTTATTGACTTTTTAAATTTTTGTTAACATAAATAAATTTTTAAACTCATCAATTTAAATAATTTAAACCTTTTTTTAATAATAAATTTAACACTTATTTTGTGTTTTATTTGTATGAATAAAATTAATACTCATCATATAGATAATCATATTTTAATAACTTATTCATGTAAATGATACACAAATAAACATTAAGTTTTTTTGTAAAAAAAAAATTAAATTACTTAAATTATCAAATTTTATAGTTTATTTACTTTTAAAAAAAATAAATTATAAAATTTAACATAGGTTTTGCCATAAATAAGAAAATTAGAATTTGCCGATAAAGATAATATAAAAAAAGAGAGAGAGACAAATATTAGTATAATTCCATTCTGCACCGCAACTTACAGTAATATAAAATATTTTCATTATTCATTCAGGGCGATAAAGTCTAGTGAAATGAATGGTGAACATCATCCCATAACCATTACATTCCAAATGCCAAAACACAACGGAATATATTTATTATTACAGTGACAAGTGGGAAGCCATGAAATACCAAATCAGACCCCCTTCGGTGACCATCTCCAACCCCAACCATCTCTTTGGTCCGCTCCACCCATCACCGTTCTCGAGTGCCCCTGTCCCCTCGCTACTGGGGTTACCGCTAGGACTGGGAACAGGGCTACCACTTGCGCTGTCACGCCCGCCACTCTTTCCAAATTGATAGAAAACTTGAGCTTCTGGGGAATTCGGATCCAAGTGTAAAAGTTCTGCATATATATATAAAATATGAAGTTGATCATCAGGCACACATCTACCAAAAAGTTTAACTAATTAAGTACAATTATATACATGTACCTGGGCACTTGGAAATATTGGCTGCTGTATTGCAAACAGAAGGCAGAGACAGAGCAAGTGTGACATTGATGTTAAGTCCAAGATCTGGATCGTTTTTATCTTTGATAATCAGACACAAGCACTTACTGCTGTTCTTGAGGACTTGTTTCAGACCGCTGCAACAGTCGGGTGTTGGAGACTTGGCTTCACCTCCAACATAGGGAAGACAAGTCGCCAGTCCTACCAGCTCATTCGTGCACTCTTCTTTGTCCTTGGCTGAATCAGCTATAACAAACCCCATCAATAATGCGTGTAAATATAGTGAAGACAACACCAACATTTTCACTCCGATTCTCATATTGCTGATCTCCATCTCATCTGATTAAGCTAGCTAATATAACAAGAACCCTGTATATATATATATGGCTACAAGTAGGTGTGAAAAGAAGATGGGAGAAAAACTAAAGAAATTAAGTGCGTCAATTCACCAACCCACCCAAAGCAAGAAGCAATCATGCCTTGATTACACTTGTCACTTATTGGCCCCTGTTATGTACCACTTGCTAATTCCATTTGCCTTTCAGGTCACAACAGCATGCACCATTTTCTTCACATCACCAACCACACCAACACAAACAGATCCATTTGATAGGTTTTTTTTTGCTAATCCCATTATTTAAAAGTTATATTAAATTTCGATTAATTTAAAATCGAACCATGTCAAACATTATAAATGAAAACTTTCTCAACAACTGTTTTTTTATTTATAATACTCGAATTTGAGATTTTATTTGAACGAAATCGAGTTTCTTATACTCTAATTAATAAATCGTTGGTCATTGGATAAGTTTATAATTACTATTAATTGATAACTACTAATAAATTAATTACTTTTAGAAACCACTTAAGTGAGCATAGTTATAATGAGTTTTTCTAACATATGTCTTAAAATATAATTATTGTATTTTTTTAATATTAATTGCTATTGAAAAATATAAAAATTGTTATTTATTTTACCACTAGTGCTATGTGAATCATTTTAATTAAACAGTTATGTAAATAAAAGTCAACTTTTATTTTTTAACATTAATTAATAGAAAATTTATGTAATAATTAAACTTATAACCTATTTCTTAAAGAAATTGATTAAAAAAACTAATTATAATGACTACTAATACATTAATTACTCCTAAAAACCACTTAAGTAACCTAATGATTATCCTTTAAATATATATATATATATATATT